AATAGAGCTATTATCCCAGTAGAGCATGGCCTTCGCCTTCATTAAAAATGAATGTGCGCATGTCTTATTGTGATTACATTCTCAAATGTGCGTACTGATTCTATGTTTGAGATCAGGGAGGTTAGCACAACAGTGGTGCAGCTCACAAACACAAAGCACTATATGCTCCTATAGAGCTATGACGACAGCCACTAAATGTATAATGGATTGTTTCATTTATCATAGCAAGCATAAGCAAGCAAACAACCTTTATATGACCATGTGGGGGCTTTAGAGAGCTCATTTTCCCAGGAGTACTGAGAAAAATGAGGTGCTTCTTCAGTATTAAATATAATGGCATTTCTGTGCAGTTGATGGCACCTACAGGGCAGAGAGGACTGGACCGCAGCCAAACAGCAACAGTAACCTTCAGAGTCTGTAGACAGTAGCGCAGCCCTGTTGATTGGGAACTCTCTGTAATGTTCACCCTGAAAGCCCTCTGCCTTGTTCATTGCTCCATACAGACTCGGGAAGATTTATTTTGTTATGATTCTTTGATCTCCTTGTATATTTCATTGCAGTTTGTAAATCTCCTGTTTAGCTATTAATATTGTTGATATTATTCCTGTTTTGAAAACTAAAGCTTCTTGGGCAATTTTTGGCACTTTTCTCACAACGAAGGGCTTTGAGGATTTGCTGTAACCTTGTAGTGCGTAATAATTATTGAAGTGAAATCAGCAAATTGTTGCAGCTCCTTCTGGCCAAAGGTTCCTCAGTGCATCCTTAAAACATGTTTACACCACTTTTCTGACAACATGAGAGTTGTCATAGGATAACTCAATTAGTCAAATAATTACCATGAACATACTTTTGGGACAACATTTTTTTTGTCATTTCAGAAACCAAAAGCATTAGTAAGACATAGAAATGGTGTGTTTCTAAACTGTGTACATCTTAAGCTTTCATTTTTTCCCTTGGCTGTTTAACCTGCTCTATGGTTAATGTCCATCCTATATGAATTGCTTGTGTTGATATCACACTTTACAGAGACATGTTATTGGCTATGCTTTGATTTGAATGCTTGCATGCTTGCAACATGTATCCCTGCAGGATCTCCTTGAACTGTCCTGATGGATTTTATCCTTAAAAAATCTAATTGTCATCACCGCACAAACAGAACAACTTGCATGCACAGACCAAACAGTGACACAAAGAAACACAAAAAAGGGATTTTTAAAATGAGCCTCTAAAGGAACATTGGATGAGTCCACCCCTCTTTGAAAATGTGTCCAAGAAGGGTCTTCATAACTCCCGAGAGAAAATACAACGTCCTTTTAATCCCCATTTGCATTTGCTACATCTCATACAGTAAGAACATGACGAGGGCAACATACAGAGTCCAGTCACTGAGCATATAGAGAGCAACTTCCCGACAAAAACACAAAGTCCACTATGTTCCCGGAGCTGTCTTTGTGGAGGAAGTCTTTGATCTCTCAATGCGTAGGGACATGCAGTGAAATTGCTGGAGAGAGAACACAGTGTGTACAACTCTGCTTGCAGACAGCTGCTAATTCACAGTAGGGTTTGAAAAGTGCACACAGGGTACAGATGTTATAAGTAGTTTGATGAATATTATCTCTACTGTACGTCTTGAAAATGCCATAACACGTAATGTTACAGAGCGCAACGTAAGACAGCGGTACCCATCAGATGTAAAAATAAATCACGTGACATATCAATATTCACATAAACTATTGGAATTGATTTCACAATATCTACAAATTCACAACTTGGTATCACTATTCTGAGCATTTAGAATTGTTGCCATTTAGTTTATAATATTATGTTCAGTTAATCTATTTCTACTGCTTTCTACCCATCAAGAGATTTTCATCAATGCTGCAGAGGTTATGTCGTATAAAACATAATATTTAATGCTGTACTGGATAGCATAAATAGATTCATATAGTAATATACTCTTAATATACTGTTTCTTATAGGATGACATATTTCTACTGAAATTAACTCCGACCCTGTGAGGAAAGGATTTACCACACAAATAACACAATCATAACCAAACCAATAGCAACAATACAGCAGTCCTTCTTATCAAACCCCTAACTAACAAAGATTACAAAATCATTCCTGAAATACCACTTGACCTTATGTGCCAGTTATGCATGCATCGAAATACTGTTTCATTATTTTCTTTTTAATCTTGATCAATCATCCCTAATGTTTGCACTACTGCATGTTTGTCTGCTTCTATGGCCATTCAGTTATCAGTTTGAGGAAAGAGATTGTTTAGCTGGAGAGGGCACATGATTTGGTTGAGGCTCTGGAAGTGTCCCCCCCCCCCCTTTTTTTTGCTACCAAGATGTGTGAATAAAGAAAGTTATCCTGCATATTGTGTTGTGCTAAAAATGTAGGCAAATGGCTCGAAGTGATCGTATGACGCAAAGACCTGCGGGTTTATCATACAGCATAATGAGTAGGAAAGATGACATTCACATCATTTGTCAAATCACAAAAAAAACATATCTCCTGGTAAACCATTTTTCATCATTCCTCAGAGATGGAGAAAGTGAAGAAACGGCAGTAAATATTGACAAAGATCACACTTTTGCCGTCCTATATGTATTTTGCTCCTTAGTTTTGTGTCAAGGCTATACATGTGTTTTAATGCAGATTTCACGAGTTACCCACAATATTCCGTTAACAATGTGGTTGAAATGAATTTAGATCCCTTTTACAGTACTGAACAGTCATACCACACATGCAGTACAACAGTTTCTTTGGTCCCCACAAACAAGTTACTGATTATGTCAAATGACTCAAGCTGTGTGGTCCTCTTGGTTATATTATTTCTGAGATGTTTAGCAGCTGCTGCTTCTCACTTACCTACAGTATCTCAATAACAGTACTCAGAGAATTATACATTAACATTAATGCTCTTGTGTCATTAGACCCTGAAATAGCAGCAGACAGTCGCCTTTAAACACTCAGCAGATGTGTATCACTGTTTTGCGACATGAATCCATCAATTCATGAAATATACTGGATTCAGAAAGTCATTCTGTGTCAGCAGCATGATGTCTGAGTTCTGTTAAGTATTTAGAAAGGCCATTAAACACATTATGAATTTGATATGACTATAACAATTGTATGAGCACCTAAAAAATCCCATCCAGAGTTTATGGCTTCACGATTTATCATGTCAGTTTGTGCCCGTGTTTTTCTTTTGAATATGAAAATGGTTTACCAGGAGATGTTTACAGTCCCATTTTTGATGCAAGTCTGTAAAGGGTGAACAATATGCCTTCTAAGTGCTGAATTATCCTAATGGGTTTTAATTGGATGTAATGGTTAAAATATCCTCTACTAGTTTGATAACACATTGCCATACTCAAATGCAAACTGAATTTGTATTTTAACGTTTGTAACTGATATGGATGTAGAGCCAGTTCTGTGTGTGGTAGTGTACTGTACATAACTAAGCCTAAAATCTGTGTGCAACCAAACGAGGGTAAAAACACTTTCAGAAGTCTGTGCCAGCCTTAAATGATTAGCATCACATCAATATGCACACATAATTGGACTTTAAGTGTGTTTATGCAGATGAGACTGAGGTTATGAGTAGGTAATTGATGACTAACTGGGATGAACTACAGAAACACTGATACTAAGCCCTATTTCAGTGTGACAAACACCATTACTGGAGGTTGCAGACATACACGTGTACAGATTGTCATGCATTAACCTATGACTGTTACATTGTACATGTTTTGTTACACCTTTTTTAAAGAGGTTACAACATAGTTCACTCATTCTGCTTACCACTTAAGAACAGTTAATGTAGTGGTCATCAAAGAGTCTATAATTGAGACAATGCTAAATATCCAGAGTGCATCCGGCATAACACCAACAGAAATTGCTTAAGAATAATATAAGGTCTGTTTTAAACACAAGTTCAACACAAAACAAAAAATACAGATGTTATTTAAGAAAAAGAAAACAAAAGTTGGAGACAGATGCCACAGCTGGAGACACATTTCATCTTACATTTTGAAACCACCAATTGTTAAAAGCAATTTTACATAACAATGTAATGACACAACTTACATTTAGTTAATCATTTAGTTGTATTTGAATTGTGTTGACCAATTTCACAGCTTTTTCTTTGCAGAATAATGGTCTCCAGTGAGGAGAATGTCTCCGAAATGTGTTTAGAAATACTGTATGACTGTGACATATTGGCATTTGTTGTCTACTTCAAAACACAAAAAGAGTACATCATATGTAGACAATCAAATAAACACCAATACTTTACACAATCAAGTATAAAAGGGCTAAAATACAACATGAATCAAAAATGTTCTTATGACAATGCGGAAAAATAATAATGGAGCCAAAAACACTGATGCAGAGAAAACAAAGAAATAAAAGCACCAGGGTGCGTGCCCACAATGTACATGAAATAAATAGGGTCTGGTATGTTTTAATGTATAAAACATCTAATGTTATTTGTATTTCCATGGAAAACATATAACAAACTGCGATTCAGAATCCCACTTCAGTCTGAGGTAATGGTGGTAGTTTGTTATGCCTGGCTCACAGTGACGCCGCACCATGAGCCAAAACATAAATGCACATGGTAATTGTTCTAGACTACGCTGGATCCCTTAATATCTTCATCTTTTCACAGGCAGTGGTCTGTTAGCCTTCCACACTAATGGGCAATTTTACACTCTGTGCCCATGGGCCGTAGGTGAGCGGGGCACAGCCACATACTCGCAGTTCATGGAGCCTGTGGACACCAGTAAATGTTTGCATGTAAAATACACACAGACTGTTGTGCATATGTGTGCTGTTAATGCAAATGTGAGCGTGTCAAAGCCTTTTATAATTTATGATGTGTGTATTCACCAAGGCACATAGCTTCTTTGCCATTGAGCATACTCGGCCAGTTAAAACAGTAAGAGCCACTGGACTAGAAAATGTACAGGCAGCCTCGTGGGACACAATAGCAATTCCAGATGATACTGCATTGGGTCTGTTACGATTCAGCGTGAGGTGAAGGCCAGACCCTGACGATTATTAATTATGTTCCTATGGAACTATACAGGCTGCCCCGGCTAACAGAGCAGGGCAGGGCAACCAATGAATGGCTCTTCTGGCGTTTTTCTGACGATAACTGTGTGTCTGTGTGCGTGCATGCATGTTGTTAACTTGATGGATATGTCAAAACCTTATCATTGGTAATGAGCTACAATGAAAACTTCAAATGCATGCTTGCTCTAACTTATTATAAGCAAAGCGCAAACATTTCAAAACATAGTGAAAACACAATTTGACTACTCTACAAAACGGCAAGCAATCAGGATACAGCGAAGGGACACTGGGTTACTGACAACAGGGAACAGTGCCAGAGATAAGTGAGGAGGGGAGAACAAATAAATGCAACACAAACACAGTCTGATGTGAGAAATGTGCTCCCTCCAACGTCCACTAATATATGTGAATCTACTATTGTTTAAATGTGCCTTCCATCTAAACAGACGTGCAAAATATCAAACTCTTAAGAAAAAAACAATGCACGAAACAGGCGCACACACATACACACACAATAAAATGTGATGAACTTGGCCTCCTGCAAACCTGTCTACCCTCAAAACAAAACCAGATCAAGCCTAGCATTTGGTCAAATTCAGTTTAAGTTGTTTGCTTTCATCATAGCGGGCTTTCTGTTGACATATGTGGCCCAGTAGCCTAAGTTGAAGATGAAGAACAGAACTGGGAAAATGATGCGCGATATCTTGTCCACTTTGCTGACACGGTTGTATGACTTCTTGGCCTCCTCGTAACAGTCATCCTGGAGGTAGGAGTGTCTGGTGGGGACTGGAGTGGCACTCTTGGAAACGGTCGTTAAACCTTGGTCTTTAGCCACGTTGATGCCGTAGGTGGTTCCAACAATGTTGAATGTGTTGTTTGCTTTTTTGGACAATGTAGCAGATTCTCTTCTCTGAAATGAAAAAAGGCAATAAAGGTAAAGGTTGTCAGGAGCGAAGCACCAGACTCAACAATACTTCCATTTGAACTCATAAAGAGGAAATAGAAGCAACACCACGAGACACGACACACACAAGAACAAAACAAAAGCCTAACCATATCGTTAATCCTGGCCATGTTAGCCTGAAACGGTTCCTGAAAAGAAAAGTAGAAAAGAAAAAAAGTTTACCAATTATATTAAAATTACCCAACTTACATACTCTATTCATCACTATCTAGCTGGAAGTACTTTTAACATTTTACACTATTAATATGGTCAATTCTAATCTGCATCATACAAATCTGGATTGCAAAAAAACCCTGTCATGATCATAACTCACGACAAATGTCAAGGCTAGTTAAAATAAGTGTCAAAAATAGGAACAATCATATTTCTGCATCAATGCAGAGCTAGGCTGGACTTCTGTCTGATACTGCTAACAGTATATGGCAGCACAGAGCTGGATGGAAACAATGCAAAAATAACAGTGCCTAAAACATGTCTGACAAACTGTATCAATGCATTCAGCCAGCTTCAACAGCTTGTGATTTAAAAAAAAGAAGCAACTATGGCTGTGTGTGATAAAAAGCTGTCTGGAGAAACTGCTTTCTTCCTTCTAGTAGAGAGACACTTTAGACTGTCTTTCATATTGAAATCGCACGGGGAGACAGAATTTATTTGCTAAATCTGTACACTGAGATGGCTAAACTTGCATCACAGGAGGATCCTGTCAGCCTAAAATTAGTACAGGAGAGAACAAGTAGGGCACCAAGATTGATCACCGGGCACTGTTTTAGTTTCCTGTGTGAGCCTGTACTGGAGTAATTTTCTTCACACCATTCATTCCCACTGTGGCCACTTTAAGATCTGCAGCAAAACGAAAGCACTGTGTGTCACGTAACAGAGTGCTTTCTTCTCTCAATGCTCCCTGTTTTAACTTTTGCTTTGAGCCCAGCTTTAATTTCTGCTCTACTTTTTCAGCTTCATTTAATTTTCCTTCCTTTTCCGTCGACTCCATCTCTTTAAATTAGCATAACTAATGTCCCCTCTTTCCCCCTCCTCCAAAATGCTTCACGGTGCATGTCTTTCCGTACACAGCTCTTCACCAAATGTTTTGTTGGGTCTTTATTCTGAATTTTCTCAAAACCTCCTAAATGGATGCATAAAAATGGCTTTATGTTAGAAGAAGCTATATGTTTGTTCATTGAATAGACCAATGTGTCTCTATAAGACATAGAAAGACCACTTTTAATGTCACATGTGACAAGCAGTGGGCTTATATTAGCAGTTGACATCACAATGATGTTATCAAGTTGCTGTTAAGCTTCTGTCTGAGGTGATGGACACGGCTGCAGTGAGGGGAAGTGTGATCAGTGTTTCCTCTTCGAGTGAGCTGGAGAAAAGAAAAAGGATGATCCTTCAAGCTCCTCTGCAAAAACAGCAAGGGTTGTGAAGAGCTTAACAAAGCGCGCAGTCAGACAGTTGATTGCATTAAACAGAAATGTCGAGCCGCTGCCTGAAGGGGGTCTATCTCAAGTCAATTAGTACAGAGAGAGAAAGAGTCACACTGATTCCCCTTGGGTAACCGGACACTTTCCCAGGATATCAATCCCTCCACTTCCACACCCCACTATAAGTATCCTCTATCATGGCGATGGCTGACATCAGCAGGAAAGGTGAATTGCCGCTATAGTGTACTCTATGACCTTAATCATTGCCCCCTCAACTCTTAAGGCATTATGTCCTTTATTTGTTACCTGACAAAGAAGCCAGGGAAAGTGTTTTTCATTCTCTATTTGTCTGAGCTGTCCTCGCAGTCAGTGATATGGTCTAATTGTTGGGTAAACCATGTGTGGTATGGGCTATGTCCATGTTGTTATAAACCTAATGTGACACAGTACATTATTTAGCTCCGGCCAAAGATTCTTGCATGATATTCAAAGTCATTTGGCTAGCTGCAGGCACAAATAACCCCATGAATACAATGCATCTGTTGACCTTGTCTTTGTAACTTCTGCAAATTGTTGAATCAGAATTTCTGAGAGTCTGATTAAGTAGCCTGGGGGCAATTATGCCTCACTGTGTGTCCTGCTGTTTGAAACTCAGCGTGTGCATGTGTGTGTGTGTAACTGAACCTTGTGACAGTCAGTCCCTGACTACATTTGGAGATGGGGTGTTGGTGGTTTTAATGGCCTCATGTGAGCATGTGGGTGGCTGAGTGTGCAGACTGGGCATAGGGAGCCACGATGTTGTCCCTTTTCCTGTTGGTGTGTGTGTTTAGTGTTACCAAAGTTTTGCAAATCTGGCAGCATAAACAACTCTTTGCATAAATATAATATTTGAAATTGGGTTCTTATTCACCTGAAATTACGTTTTCTATATTCGGAGCATGCATTTAAAACGTCAATGGCGAGATCCGCCGTGTTTACTGAGTTGTGGGAAGTCAAAATCATGATCGGTATACATTTTCGATGAATTGTTCGGCGACTAGTCACAGCAGTCTGAGAGTGCTTGCCAGACAGTAAGTTATTGTGCAATGCATAAATGTAGCTGACAACTCCAGCTCAAACAAAACGGATGTGAAAAACGTATAAAAAGAATTATAACAGGTCTTGAGAAATGGCAGCCTAGGTTTGTTTTTGTTCTCTGAATTTCCATATATAACTACAGCAAAAACTTTGGTTGAGCTTTGCTTGTCGCTTAGAAAAGTGCAGCAGCAGCAGCGTCATGCTGAAATGTCACAGCTAGGAATGATAATGACAGGCTGTGTCCCCGCCATTTCCAAACAAACTATTGTGTTGAAATGTCTGAATATGAAGTGATTTGTGCTGCAGGTGTGAGGCAAGCATTAAAACCCCCTGCACAATGAGCCCATGCCCCTGCCTCTGCTGCTGATGGAACCAGCCTATAATATCCTACACCGTCCAATCATGTGTCGCAGAGTGCCGAGGACACGATGGCTTTCGTTCCAACTCCCCACCGGCTAATTTCTGTAATATCCACACCTTCAGCCGGCAAGAGGGCTTTAATTAGGTAGATTGCTTGTCAAACAGAACGTTGGGCGACAAAGGAGGGAGAAAATGGCATTGAAATTCCATAACCAGCCAAGTAATTGACTGCACATCGACACGTCTACAGCTCACCATTTCAGTCCTAAAAAAGAAAGAGCCTAAGGGCGATGAAGTCATCGTTTTGTTCCGGTGAGGGTGGTGGCTGAAGCCCTGCCTCTAACTGGGGACAGTATTTTCCAAATGACTTAGTGAGCTGAAACTTCTCTTATTCCTTATAGGTTCTCCTCCTATAGGTTTCTTTTATTTATTTTATTGTGTGTGTGTATATATGTCAAAAAGAGAAAATGCAGTAGTCTGATCCCTTTACTTTCCTGTAGCTCATTCTAGCGGGGAGTGTGATGGGAGTGCCATGTCTCCCTCTGTGACCCCATTCTTTTTTATCTATCATGACAACTGCATGCTCAGCACAGCCCCCGAGAACGCAGCCCAGGCTGTTGCCATTAAGACGAGGCATCAGAAGGGGGGGAAATAAAAACTCTCCACTCTGCTGCTGCAAAATAACGCTGCAAATTATCCTCACCGACTCAAATGTTCCAAGGCAGCAATATACAATTCTACCAAATCACTCAGAGGACCAAATGTCAGACTGGAAAAAAACGGAACTGGGAAAAGCTGTACTGATTATGTCAAACAGTTTGTACATTAGTAGCAGAAAATAGATTTGTGGCAGTAAAATGAATACAGTTCTTTCTTTTTTGTGTGTGTCTGAGGCTGATAGAAGTAGCCTTTTATGTGCTTGCAGGATCAGAACCGCAGCTTTTAGATCAGCACTATTTACAATAAAGGAATGTTTCATCATGTGTATATACACAAGCATAACAGCAAATCAGGGAGACCACTGTTCTAATGTAGTTTCTATATTGCCTCTGTTCATGTGTGCCGATACATAACATTGCCTCAGGAATAAATTCATCATATTTAGATCTACAATTAGCAACTTGTCTTGCTTATATCTACCATCCTTTGATTTGATTGTTTGTACTGCTATCTTATATGGCTGTGTTTTCAAGCTCTCTCAGTAATCAGCGTGACTTTGTAAACCCCACTGGTTTATAAATTGTAATTTGATGCTGTTCTTTGAGGTCTTCTTAGGTTAAGGCGAGGTTCTGCTAAGGTAACTGACCTCTAAAAACCTCTGGGCAGGCCATTCATTATTATTTAGGACATGTATTATATTTTTTGACAGAAGGAAAACACATTTTCTAGTCTACTTCTCAGCACTGTCAATCAAACCACAGCACGCTACCAACACCTGATTCTGTCAATCATGCTAGCCATACGAAAATAGGAAAATAATTGATTTGTTCCTTTCAATACTAGAAAGAACGAGCCCTTTTGAAGCTATAACAGCACCAAGTGATTTAATTGTGTTCATTGCTTCTCAGTGCCCGCTCTGATACTGTTTCATGCCACTTGTGAACTTATAAAACATCATCCTTTTAAACGTAAGCACTGAGGGACTTAAAAGGTTTTATTTATGTGTCTTCATTATAGCTTTGGAGAACGGCATGTTGTTGGACCAATGCGTCCTCCACATAAGACCCTTCCTTGAATTGAGTCAAACGACAATTTGCACTCACGGCCCTTTATGAACAACACCAACAGCCCAAAGTATTGACACATTATGAATCTTCAAGCTACGATTCATTACATTTTAAGCCTAAAATATAATTTCAGCCTCAGGTAACTAACTAGTGTTTCCACAAACACTGTCTAATCAACTTGTGCAGACCAGATGTAAAGGAGCCATGTTTTGTCAGGAAGAAGGAGCCTCCTCTAACTTTAGAATGAAACGTATGATGCCATCGTAAATCAGGGCCAGTGTCTCTGGGAGTTTACCTCTCCTTCTGCTCCCACAGTTTCGCCTCACTGTCCCTGTTCCATTTGGCTGTTAATGAATAAATAAACGCTCTCTTTATAGTATTTATAGAGTACTCCAGGCTGCTTTAAGGAGGGGACTTTCTATCACTGTTTCCAAAGTGCAATTGGCCCACGTCACTTCCCGAGTGTTAAATGAAGACTCACTGAGTACGTTGTTACCAGGGTTAACAAATCAACAACTTATCTGCAGAAACAAAAGTGAAAAGCAACTCTGTATAACTGTTACATTTCCTTTTTTAGGATGATGCATTAGTTTGTTAATGTTGGTTCAGCAGAAAAAGTGTGGTCGTGTCATATCTATTAAATAAATTAAAAAAAACATAGAAAAGTATATATAAATAAGAATCACTCACCCTTATTTCCATGCCCTCTTTTTTCCCATCCCATGCCCAGCTGCGCTTGGTGAAGTAGTTGACTGTGGCAAACTCAATCAAGGCAGAGAAGACAAAGGCATAGCACACTGCCATGAACCAGTCCATGGCAGTGGCATAGGCCACCTTAGGGAGGGAGTTTCTAGCACTGATGCTCAGGGTGGTCATGGTTAGGACAGTGGTGACCCCTGAGGATAAAATGACAACATTAGTAAATAGAACACTTCAAGGAAAGTTCATTATTGGGTTCAGTTTTTGCAAAGGTGTTGCCATGATGCTTTCATTGTGTGTCGTGTCCAAGTAAAAGAAGCTTAAGAAAAGCTGGAATTATCCAAATTAGCTCAATTAATAAAATCTTTCTTGGGATTCAAATGAAAATGTAACTGCACTTCAGAACTTAACATAATCTATTATGTGAAATCAGAAAATAGAGATGCATGCCACTAACAAAATTCAATGGTGCATAAACATTGTATGTATTTGTATTTTCGCTCAGAAAAAAATACCCTTAAACAATAAGTGTCTATTGAAGTTGCAAATCCAAAAACATCCACAGCAACAAACAATGGACAAGAGAAACCCCCTTTTTAATAGGACCCAAGTTGAAAAATGTGATAACTTTTTACAATGCTATTATCACATAATTGATATAGACGGGTAAAGGGTATACATATTGCATATTATCTTTTGCACAGTGAATATATACATTTTGAACATCTTTGTCACGTCTGCATCTGTCAATGGCCCATGATGATAACAGTAGGCATTCAATAATAATATATAAATTCCACTAAATAAGACACTTGATAATATTTGCTATTAGATGTATGTATATTGGTATTGGCAATCAGCAATGTGCTCTGTCTCTGCATACATTGAGTGAAAGCCTTCTGACGTGTCGTTTATGTGCAAGGGTTGGCAACAAATATAGCTTTAAAACAGGAGTTTTGGCGGAAACAGACCCCCAGCTACACAACTCATTTGACATCCTGGCCTTTACATTCAGTACATATAGTGCTGCAGGCAGGGGATGAAATGTGGGTCGGACTGTTCGCCCATCCAAACACATAAAAGCAATCACTTCATCTGTTCCAACCTATCTCATCTGACAACACATAAAGTGGGCTCTGAAAATGAACATTGTGTTTCAGAACAGGGAGGTGTACCCGTTTCACTGAGTCATGCTTGAGAAATTAGAATATGTGATGCAAAGATTGATAGTCACTTTCTTTAAAGGACAGATTATTTATATTCTAGTGGCGTGTTTTGCATATCTTTTCTATATTAGTTAGTAAATTATCACTTTTTCTGGTGGACATATGAGGACATAAATAATTAAAGGTATAAATTAAACATCATATCTAAAAAACGTTATACCCCCCCCCAAAAAAATACAATTGTATCATTCCTTAAAAATACAATTTAAAAGGGAAAAGATAAAGGATCGTATTTGTCGATGATGGTTACACAGCAGAGCTTTATTTGAGCTGATAAATGTGACTGTGTGAACGAGTAAAACAGATGTGAACACTGCTGGTAACTGTGTCCTTCACGGATAACGCTTCAATCATTCCACTGAGAAAATGACACTGATTACAGCTTCTCTCCACATGTGGAGGACAATCTAAGTGAGTTCAAGGAAAACTGTTCTTCTAGGTGTGTGTGTGTGTGTGTGTGTGTGTGTGTGTGTGTGTGTGTGTGTGTGTGTGTGTGTGTGTGTGTGTGTGTGTGTGTGTGTGTGTGTGTGTGTGTGTGTGTGTGTGTGTGTGTGTGTGTGTGTGTGTGTGTGTGTGTGTGTGTGTGTGTGTGTGTGTGTGTGTGTGTGTGTGTGTGTGTGTGTGCGCGCGTGTGCGTGTGCGTGTGTGTGGATAACTGAAGGACTTATGGTTATTCAGAAGAATGCATTGCAATAGGTATATGTTGCAGGCGGTTATTTCCTCCATGGCATGATGGAAAATGGCCCCTATTACTCTGTATAAAGCGTGTGCTTCATTTCTTAATCAAAATGCAAGTTATACAACAAACAGGGGTTAAGGGGCACTTCCGTAGATTATGCAGCACAACAACACTTGAAGGGGAAGGGCTAATTACATTTCATCTCTGAGTACGGGCACATCTAAGCAGACTCAATGTTCCCAACGTGAATGGTGCTGGATGGACAAATTGCATCTATTATTAATCGAGGCACAAAGAGAGGATAACACGTGTCACATATGCACCTTTTTGAAAAAAAAGAATAGCTTTGGAAAGGTTGCATTTGTTTAAATGTTTTGGTCTTTTCATTAAAAAGGGACATATTTTGTTAAAACACACACACACACACACACACACACACACACACACACACACACACACACACACACACACACACACACACACACACACACACACAGACACACGGACACACACATCACATGGACACACACATGGACAGACAAACATAATAAGAATTAGAGTAGCCTAAGTAGTATGATTATCATAACTTGCAGTTGCTGTCTGTGACTTAAATTACTGCAATTACCAAGTGTTTTAGGGGAAATCTGTTAAAAATGGCACGTTTGATATGATGAAATATGCATAAAGGATGGGAAAAGGGAAAACAAAGTACACAAAAATTATAATAAGACATTATGATAAAATAAGTAATAAATGGGTAAACTAGGGATGGGAGATAAAAAAGCATAAATGAATGATCTGATATTTAAAATGTGAGCTATTGTTGAATGCGTGGCAGGACTTGAGAGCTGTCTGTTCCTTATTTGAGAGATGTTACTGCGGTTAGGCTTTGTTTTTGTTTGGGAATGATTGTGCATTGGACCCTGCTTTTGTAAATTGTCAGGATATGAACCCCTGCCATTTCCTTTCCAACTCATTTCTGTTGTCCACCACTGCAAACAAGTTATCTGACCCTTGTTAAGAGTCTGTGGTCGCTTTGGTGGGAATGTCTGTTTGTCAGATGTGGATTCTTTTTTAAAAGACCTAGAGCTGCGTGAGTAATAAGACGTCAGGCTGCTGTTGATGTAGACGAGTCCAGCATCCTCTTCAAGAGATGCAACACATCATCTATCACCTGCCACACTTTACAAATCTCATGCTTTCGGATTTTGCTTTGACTTATCTTTAAATAAGTAGTTTGTTGCAGCTACAGAGGTAGGAGGAACTCAATACCTTGATAAAAAGCTTTGGAAAAAAACGAATTACTCGTTCATGCCCATGTGCACCTTAATGCACCAAGCTATGTTTTGTACATCGTTATGTTAATTGGAGCTTTGCAAGGGGAACCTTTTTTTTTAAGCCCTCCACTTGTTTTGCAGTTTGCTGAATCATCTGATGATGTGAACAAAATGCAGCTCCGCTCATTTGTTTTGCTCCGTCTTACCTCATAATTCAAAAGCTCCAGCAACTTGTCTAAGCTGTTCAATCAATCATTTAGTGCATTTTTGTAAAAGTTGAATCATAAACCCAAGACGGCACTCACCAAATACAGTGCGAGCAGGAACCGATTCTCTGTTTAGCCAGAAGGAGACCTGAGACAGTATGACAGTCATGATGCACGGGAGGTAGGTTTGAATCACAAAATAGCCAATTTTCCTTTTCAAATGGAAATATGCTGTCATCACTACATATTCTCCTGAGGGAGAGGAGAGAAACAAAGAAAGAGATGGAGAGAAACACAGGGTTATTATTATTAATACAGCTATGCCCAGTTGGGAGGAACACAAGCTGAAATATTTAAAGTAAGATTTATTCAAGTTAGAACATTTGCATCATCCATGTAGCTCATAGGATTGTCTTCAGCCCTTTTTTTATTTGAGCTATTATAACCATATGAAAACATAGAAAGTGTTGCTTCAAAGATGCAATATGCATATATTCCAAAGGTTCTTTTGATGGGCACCTTGTATTTAAAAAAATACCATACAGTAACTGACCTTTATTTAACATCAATTTAAACCCGCATCTTTTCAATAGCAGAAGGGTGCGATTTGAATGGATGGAAACAACATGGCAACATGCTTAGGCTTTCATAGAGAGGATACAGAGGTCTTTTGGGAGAGCGGTTAGAGGTCACGGCATACAGTAGCAGCACCTGCACTATTCATATACTAGAAAACCAAGGAGAATGTCATATCAGAGAAAAACCCTGAGTTGAGTTACAAATGTTAATAGGAAAAGGAGCCTAGAGGTTTGGAACATACGGTTGTAAAAAAAAAAGGCTGTTACCCCTAAATGTCAACAAATCTCTCCGGACATCATCATAGTCAGATAAATAGAAGGGTGAGGTAGGAAATGCTGAGGTATACGCGGTTGAATGTTGGTTATAATGCTGCCTTTTTAAGGAATACTCAAAAGTCAATGCTGGAAAGACGGCACTGGAATGCTAGTTGCTTGAACCTTTGTGGAGGTCTCTCGTCCTCCAGGAGCAGTTCACAACGTTTTTCGCAAGCTAATGCCAAGCCCTTCATTCTCAAAAAATCTCAATTTTTAATTGGAGTATTCCTCTAAATGCACAGGTATATTCCAATTCCGTTCTCTTTGCTGCAGATTTGAAGAACATGTGCGTGCCTCGATATTGAGCATTTCCTGGAGCTAAGATTTTATTACTGATGACGGCAATTGTTCCCTTAAGCACCAGCTGGCTTTGCCGCGTCTATAATCTTTTGTAGCAAAGATATGAGAAAAACATCCTTTTTTTATTCCCTCAGGTGTTCTTTCTGAGCAGACTCTCACCAGAGCTGAACTGGCTCAAATCCTCCCATCCCCTTGGCTCACTGCAGCCCATTAGGTTTGAACTTTAAAGAAATTAGATATTTTTTTTCAAATCCACAAGCTGAACCCAGTTTATGAAAGAAATCATGTTGCCTTCCCTCAGATATTTTTTGTTGTACTTGTAGCCAGAGTTGGTCCTCTCCAATTCTCTTGACTTACGGTTAAACCACATAACAGCACTGCAATAACGATGAGCTCAAGGAACAGTGTACTCTGTAGAGTTCTACAAGTGCTGTTATTTCAACAGCTTTCAAAACACTTTCTGCCTCAACAGCTTCACTACAGAGGTTAAATCTCTCAAAATGGAAAGCCAGTGTGGCTCAGTCGTCAGATATGCACTCTTTCAGTAATTACTAACTGCCCCGCTGAAGCAACCTTTTATCTCGGCCTATAGCTTTGCAGTAATCAGTCCTTCAGCACATTTTCCTTTGCACTGTTACCTAAAGCTGGATATTGATGTTAACTACTGATCTATCATTATTAGGTTTCAACTTACAACTTTTTTATAATGGCACCTTATAAACAGTATAAGCACCTTGTGGTTGAACACTTACAGTATTATCAGATAATTGCTGTGAATTTCTTATTTGTTACTAGAGTATGTCAGTCCCCAGCCCACCTTGTTTTTTCCTCCCTTCATGTTAATTTTACCACAAGCTTTACGTTTGCCAATGGGGAAATAGAGTTTGAATTTAAAACCAAATTATTGTGGTGATCATGAGCATAGGCTGGCAGACTTTCCTTTTTAACACTGTGCTTATTGAGGTTGATTCTGGGCTATAACACAACACAGAAAGGCAAGAAGATGTTCACCTCTGGCACAACTCCTAATATTATCTTTGTGAATATGCTGAATAATCCCCAAAAACCTAGAAGTCATCATTTTCTCACTGGACCCAAATAATGCATGCTGAATCCAAAGTGACAGACACTGGAGAAAGTGCAGACTGTTACTTTAGGGAAACAAACAAAAAGTGCCCGTATATGTCACTAGAAAAGAAGGGAGGCAATTTAATTTACCACAGATGTTACGTAAACACACAGATAAGGGTTTATTTTTCAAAGGAAGAATTTTCATCCCAAGACACACTAAGTCGGTTTTCTGCCTGCTGTATACTCCATTCAAGATAGAATGTGATGTGCCAGGATGCTTGAACATGTTGCTGCTGTCCAGTCTCTTCACACGTGTAACACACTGCAGCTGCAAAAGCTTAATATGGTGTATTTGTTTTAGGACCAAACCATTGGTTGAAAACACACCAAATTAGATTTAATTTCAATTCGCTCTCTAAGCTAATAGTATGTAGCGTACCTGTGCTGGAACTGATGGTTTCTTTGCCAATAACATGTCCCAGTAAGTCATACTGGTTGAGCCTGGAGCTCTCCTCTGCCATAGCCACAGACCTCCCCTGGGTCCACAGGTAGATCACCTCATTATTGGTGTAAGCATCTGTGCGACACAGAGATCACTTATCAGCACAAAATAACGGCAAAACATATGACATTCCAACCCAATGTAATAGCTACGTTGGTCCACAGGGCAAGACGTAGTATATTCACAAATAACCCTCTCAAGACGTGACATGCATACAATATTTGTTCCTATTAATTTCTAATGACCGGTGTCCATGTCACGTGATCGAAAACTTTCCTAGCGTGAGAAAAAAAACATGGCGGACAACCGATTAATTTTTTATGGGAAATTGTAGTTGATAGTTTGGTCATTAAAATGCTTTTTGATTAGATTTCTAGCGAGAAGTGTATATTGTACTTTTAAAATCTACGTCCAGTGGATGTGTAGGATCTATAGTTTGATAGATATTACGAAGATTATTTGAGGTCTCACCAGGAGAACATCAATATACTACGTATTTTAACTATGGAGTGCAACAAATGGAATAAGCTACATACATTTATATTTAGGATTGCAATGAAGGAATTAATTAAACTTAAAATAATAGCTATGACCTTTTTGACATGGTTATGTTGTGTTCTTGGTTTAATTAAATTGGAAGTTGCACCAAATGATTTGATGTAATTCAGATGCAATTAGCCTACATAAAAGGCCTCAAATTGGAAGTACTGTCTGGGCTGTCTTTCACTCAATTCTGCAATAGGTAGATCTCGCCTTTGACCAAGGCCGAGGTCGGGGATCTTGGGCTTAAAAAGGTTGGTGACCACTGCTGTAGACTCTTGGGTAGGAATTGTTCTAAGGAAGTTATCAAGGGGAATCTGGCTTCTAGCCAGTGCTTGACTTTAACTGTATTGTGAGAAGAAAAACTTCCCTTAGTAGTGTATTCCTGATGGTGAGTGCACTTTAATCCTCTGAAGTGTTTTTATGACAGCAAAGGCTCCTAACACCTGCAGAGAACAATCACTATTGTTTCCGCAATGCAATTTTATATCAAAGTCTGTTTTGATGTGACCATCTTGACTGACTTACAACTTCCGAATTTCAGAGGACAGGCGTGTGCATCCATGGGGAAATCCTCCAGGTGCATGGGGCACTCGGCATGGATGGTCAACCTGAGGGGACACAGGGAGAGGCGGTATGGTTACAAACACATCATGACCGAAGTCACCAGAAACAAAACGGTGCATTTTTATACACCAACATTCCATGTCAGACATGATCTTTATTTGCCCCTTCTTCCTGAAGAAGAAAATCAATGACTCAATTGTTTTTTTACGCCACAAAGTAACTGCCTTAATACCAGAGTGCTGCAGCAAAAATAAATACATAAAAAATTAATCTATATACAATAAAATACTAAGAACTATACAATATCAATTAAATGCAAACAGTACACATATACAAACGCTGAGTATTTGAAATAATTGGTTAGTACTGTCTTGAGTGTACATGTAGTACAGTACATGTAGTGTACAGTAACATTCTACCATATATTAAACCACCCAAGAATATGTTAAGTAATACTTCCTAGTGTTTGCCTGTATTAATATAGAAAAATAGAATCTATTAAAACAGTGTGAAGTATCGACATAGTTCAGTATAATTTAGCTGGGGATATAGAATAAATATAAGATTACCTGTTGTAATAAAGTATAGGGCAATATATAGTATATACAAGGGAATATGCTTTAATAATGAATACATATATAGTATAATGTATGATTAAATATAATAAATATATGTATGGTGTGCAGTATTTGTGCTGAAACAACTGGAGGGAGAACAAACATTCACTCTGTCCTCCCTCACGCAGCCACCAGTGATAACAAGAGCTCAGCTGACCGACAACAGAGAAACATCTACAGAGAGTTCTGGGTTATATCTCACACAGGTTCCGCCCTCTACTGGACTCTATGGGTACTACTCTCAACCATGCTATGCGAGCATTCACACACTGAGTTTGTATAAACGTAGCCGGCCAATCAGGGCGAGCCTACCTGAATGCGCGCGCAGGCACAGGCCGTTTCTCAATCGCGAGGATATTGGCTTCCAAGCCAATATTTCAAGGATGCTACGTCATCAAGTGGCGCAGCAGGACCGTTCCAATGTCCAGCATACTTGGAAATCTACCGAGGCCACGTCCTTGGTTTGGGGGAAATTTCGAGGCTGCACATGGGTAGACTTCGCGTCCTTAAAATCCCCACAATGCTTTGCGCACGGACCAATTTCCCCAAATCTGTGCCGGAAAATGTAAGGCGGGGCCTCTCATATGACGCACACCTGCACACTTGCTAGCCTGTTCCACTCGTTGTTTTCCGAATGCCAGGAAGTATTCTTGCCTCGCTTCTGAAGCAAGTGACTCGGAAGACATGTGCTACCAAGCAAGCGTACTTGCGATTGAGAAACACCCAGACAGTATATAAAACGGCCACGCCTCCTGATCCTGTCATCCTTTTCTCTTTTCTCTTCAGCGAGCAGGACAACACCTCAGAGAAAGTAAAACGTTTGAAAGAAGAAGAAAGAAGTTATCATACCTTCATGGAGTCGCCACTTCTAGAGACCCGGGCCTGTCCTTCGTGCCCTGGCTTAATAGCGGGCGCGGATCCCCACCACCTCTGCTTCGAGTGTTTGGGGGACCAGGATATGGCCGAGGCGGTGCCATTCACGTTCGCCATTCACGTTCACCATTCACGTTCGCCATTCACGTTCGCCATTCCAGCGGGGCGGATGGCTCCGTTTTCCGGGGAGGAGGATGACGAGGACTTCTCGTTGTCGGGCACTTCCGGGTCCGGTGTCCATGGAAGCCCACTGCCCAGGTCTGTCCGCCAGGACTTCCCCCTGGTGATGACCATGGCGGCAGAGCGTGGCAGCCCATCTGCTGCCAGTAGGCAGCAGGCTGGGCAGAGAAACTATTACTGGAACTACGGCAGCCGGGCGATTGGTTCACAACCATCGACCTGAAGGACGCTTACTTTCATGTCGAAATTGCTCCAAAGCACAGAAAGTATTTGCGTTTTGCCTTCCAGGGGGTAGCCTACGAGTCCAGACTACTGTTTGGCTACTCCCTATCCCCACGCACGTTCAGCAAATGTGTGACCACAGGGTTTTCTAATCTGGGGATTTCGCTCGATGCAGGCAGACTACGTGCCACCCTGTCAGAGAGCAGACAGGCATCCCTGCTTCAGGCAGTTTGCAGACTGCGACAGGGGGAAACGGTGACAGCTTTGACCATCATGCAGACTCTGGGTCTCATGGCGGCTGCTCACCTCGTCGTACGGCTGGGGTTACTGCATATGCGTCGCCTCCAGAGGTGGTTTGCCGGCCTTCGTTTAGATCCCAAGAGGCACAAACGACGTCTGGTGACCATCCCCCCCCCCCTCAGTGGAGAGCAACCTCCGATACTGGGGGTCCCCAAAGCATCTGCGGAGGGGAACTCCACTGGGGCGGGTGACCTCCTACATCACAGCATCAGTGACAGTTGCTTCACCCGGAGGTGGTGAAGCAGATCTGGGCAGTTCGGGAAAGCGGAGGTGGCCTGTTCGCCAACCGGCGCAACAGCCACTGTACCCTATGGTTTTCCCTGGCTCCGCAGGACAAGTGTTTGCACACGAGTTATGGCCAAGAAAGCTGCTCTACGCCTTTCCACCGCTGCGTCTCATTCTCCCCCTCCTGGAGAGGGTGAGACGAGAACGATTGTCAGTCATTCTGTTAGCCCCAGGTCGCCGCTCGGTGCCGTGGTACGCAGAGGTGACACAGATGATGGTGGGCCAGCCCATCGGACGGTTCCTCAGGTCTGGGGGGCGCTGTCTCAGGAAGCAGGTGCAATAGGGGCGTTACCCACTGTGGGCCAACCTCTCCAGGCTTGGCTCCTGAGAGGGACAGGCTGAGACAGGTGGGGCTATCTGACAAAGTTATTGAGACTATCCAGGCAGCAAGAACAGGATCCACCACAGCCTGTTACAGGACGAAGTGGTTGGGATTCCAGCGGTGGTGTGAAGAAAGGAGTCTAGAGCCTCTATCGTGTACGTTGGGCTCTATTCTGTCCTATTTACAGATACTGGTGGACAGGGGGCTGGCTTATTCCTCAATTAAGGTGTATGCAGCAGCCATCTCGTCCTGCCATGAGGGATTGGGGGGGCAGGTCAGCCTTTAGTCAACCGCTTATGGCGCGTTTGCAGGGGGTCTGGAGACAGCGCCCAGTAGTGCATGTCTCCACCCCACAATGGGATCTGCCGTTGGTGCTCGAGGCTCTGGTCACAGAACCATTTGAGCCTCTGGAGCTCTCCTCCCTGAAGGCACTATCATTGAAAACAGCTTTGCTGTTTGCCTTGACTTCGGCCAAGAGGGGGGGTGGTGCTGTGAGTCAGTAGGTATCTGACCCCCCCCTGGACATAATGCACTTATGTTTTCCCATGCTCCTTAGGGACCCGGGAAACATGGTGCGCAGTAAGCCCTATACAGGGCTGGACGTATTGTAACCCTAGTTATATAAGCACAGGCGGAGCCCTCTACCTAGGGGCCCCGTCTTTCCTATGCCGCTCGCTGAAGAGGGTGTAGGATGACAGGATCAGGAGGCGTGGCCGCCTTATATACTGTGTGCCTGCGTAGGCTCGCCCTGATTGGCCGGCTACGTTTATACAAACTCAGTGTTTGAATGCTCGCATAGCATGGTTGAGAGTAGTACCCATAGAGTCCAGTAGAGGGCTCCGCCTGTGCTTATATAACTAGGGTTACAATACGTAACCCCCCGTTTTTGGTCTGATGGCCAAAAAATTCACTGTGTAAGTAACTAGAGAAATGGTGCATATTATTTCACTCGTACATGTTTAATCAACATGGTTATTACATTCGCTGAGTTGGAACCAAACAGCAAGCCATAAAGCCATTGTGCAGTCGATTGAGGTACGAAATTGACCACAAACTGAGTTTTTTAAACTCAATTACATTTATAGCCCATGCATCAATTCAGTACTTGGTTATTTGAGCAACTGGGGTGGGGACAGAATATCTGAGCATGTCGGCTATGCTGAATTTAGCTTCATTACTTCTACAGTTTTTTCATCTTGTATAAGATATACCATATGTTGCATGCTTCAGTACTGTGTACAGATTTGACATGACTACTAGTAAACTTGTATACTCTTTGAAGAGGCTGATATAAATGAATCTCACCATTGTAAACAGTTTCATGTTGTCTAGTTTTATCAGCCTAGTGTTAGAACTTCACAGACCTTTTCTATCGAGAAACCTACTGTTTCAAATGAGCTCCTTGTGTTGCACTTTTTTTAACATCCTCTTGACTGTTCTATGATGCTTCCTCATTACTGATAAGTGCCTCAGTAGCTATACGCACATTATTGCAATATAACATAAGCCAATGTTAGCAATTTACCCTTGCCTGTCAAACGGCACCTAAAACGGCTAGTAATTGATGAAATTCATTTAATTTCTAGGCTGATCTGACATTCGTACTGAAACGGCGACAAGAATAATCATTTGTAGCTTTTTAATACAAAAAGTAACCGTAGGGTCCAAATGAACCCCTTTGCAAATGCAACCCAAAGAGTGTGTGGGAGAGAAACTCCCTCTGGAGGGATATGTTTGCCTTTGCAGACCATTTACATGCACACAAACCTATAACACACTACAGGAAAGGGAAAATCCCCAAAATTGCATACTAGGGCCAATTGAAATAGAAAATGTAGCTTTAAACCAGATGTGTGTAAAGATAAGCTGGTTTGAAAAAGACTTTTTGCTTTTGTCTAGCAGATGTTTGTCATACTTTGCTTCATCTTATTTCAAATCTACTTGATTATCTAAGTAAAACATTCCTTATGATATTTATCAATGTAATATATCTTTCTTGGCCTTGGCAGAACTGCTCTGGGACTGAAATCAAATTCTTTCACTATTTCATTTTCACCCTTGAAAATTAATAATGACCTTGTGGACAAGCAACATAGAAGTATTTATTTTTCAGTGATTCAAGGCTCTGCTGCAAAGGCTGATTGTCAGTAGATGAACAGATGGGTTCAAACTAATACATCATTTTTGCTTCAGTCATGAAAATAATGGTGCAAGCTGACTTGATGCTACTATCAGTCTATTTTTAGCACGACATATGCACAATGGCACTCTTTGATCAAGTGATTATTCATTGAGTTGTCTGTATGTGAAAGACAATCAGACAGATGGGATGATCAGAAATGATCCAGATATCCGCTGCTAATGACTCCACTTCAAAGTGCATAGGGAGTTCACTTTTTTCTAAGCAATTGATCACAGAAATCATATCCTTCCATTACATTTTACCATTACCATATGTGTTGCTTGTTCAAGCTGTTCTGTTCATTTAAGTATAATAGGCAAACACAAGCACTGGTTTTAAGCTTAAGGGCTTACCAGACAGAGAATGGCAACAGAATCAATTCACTTTAAAGATTCTGTGTCAAAGCACCGAAAACAAACTCCTCTGCGTCAGCTGCACTTTGTGTAAAGTAGAAAATGTTAGCATGCTAAAGCGCTAAATCAAAAGGGAAAACATGGCCAACAAAATACATGCTTATCGACATGTTGACACTTTCCTTAGGTGCAATTTCATGCAGTTACATTAGCATTTAGCTCATATAATTACTGTGTACTGGGCTGCAGACTCTAGTCTTGTTAAGATAAGATAAGATAAGATAAGATAAGATAGTACTTTATTGAACCCGATTTGGGAAATGTTTGTGTTGCAGCAGCATAAAGACATGGCATTGTACAATAACAATTAAAAGACAAGAAATAAACAAGAAAGTAGAAAATATACATGTTGAATTTACAAATTAACAATAACAAGATATAAAGCAAGGTATTATATATACATAAGTATGTGACAGATGGAATATTAAATATTAAACTGAATATATAAATGTAAAATGGACAGTGTGGTTTTATTCCAAGAGAAGCTATGGAGCAGAGACTTCTCTGCCAGCCAGAGGTGATTTATTATAGAGAGTTATTGCAGTGGGCAGGAATGTTTTCCTGTATCTGTTAAAGTACAATACTCAACAAAGAGTTGCAACCTCATAAGTTTCTCACCTCATCGTGTAGAGAAGCGTGCCGTTGTCAACTAGTCGCAGCAGTTTGTTTGGAGTCGTCATGTTGTGGGCCACCGATTTCTTTCCGTTATGGAAAAAGGTGTCAGGAGTCCAGATCTTACTGGCCAGGAGGTTGTTGAGGGGTAACACATGCATGGGCCCTTCGAACTTCAGCCTCTCGTCCATCCAACTCTGGCGGAAGAAGACATCGATGGTGTACTCCTGAGAGAAAAAGGGTGCAAAAGTTTTGTTGGCAAGATGTTATAATAAATCCCTAAACATTAATAGATGATTGTATGCTAAACCGGTTGACGTGTCATCGTTATGACCGATACTCCAAATATTTTTAAATGCAGTATGTCAGAAGGAATAAAGGGGAAAGAAATCAAAGATAACCGGAATATAACTAAAGGCTAACAAATCCTTTTAGTAGAACATTCAAGTGCTTTTTCTTACATGATTGATTACAGATGTCAAAAGATTTGTTGGTGGAATCATCATTTGTGTTAGCTGAGTTTGGAAATGTTTTCTGAGAGTTATCATTTTTAATGGCCCAGGTGTGCACCATGCTTCACCATCTGTCATCAACGCAGAGCTTCAACAGAAAGAAAAGTTCAGCATATGCCAGCTACATCCAGGATACCTGACACACACACACACACACACACACACACACACACACACACACACACACACACACACACACACTCACACTCACACTCACACTCACACTCACACTCACACTCACACTCACACTCACACACGTACACAAGTATATGTCACACCAGTTATTGTAGAATACATTTTCTTAAGTCTATGTATTCCTGCATCATGTAATTACCACTCTGGTAACAATGAAGTGTTTGACACAGATGAGCCTCAGCAAGAAATCTTGTAATCAACTGTTTTATGTTATATTTACAAGCAACGAAGTGTTTTGGTGTTTTACCAACGCATAAAACGACATAAATAAAAGGATTTCAGGATATTTAGTCAAAAGGGAATATATTTCTCATCATACATTCAATAGGACTTGGTGTCCTAGCAACAGACTTCCCTCATCCGCTCCATACAGTGGCAGTGCAGACTGAACGCAGCTGTCTTTACGGAGAGAGATAGAAAAAAGCTGTGCGCATCTCACGCTAGAGTACACATTACTGGTGATCAATAAAAGCACGCCTTATGTGTTTCTCTATCAGTCGCTTTGTGCTTTTGCTCATACAGTAAAATGGTTTGTAAAGCAACACAGCTCACCAGTGACTTGTGAGTGCTTTTTTACGTGAGAAAAAAAACAATAAAGTCATTTCTTAGTGATTTGAACAACAGGAAGCCATCAACCTCAGCAGGAAAGGTGACCAGTTTCCACTCAACACATCAACAGAGCTTCTGTAAACAGCGCAGGGTTGCATCTGTTAATTGATTGAATTGACCTCCTGGTGGCCTGCGTAAAGTCCCTAAAACATTTACACTGCATGTGTCCTCAAGTGTTCTTAATAAAGCCCACAGATCACAGATAGATAAAAGCAAGAGTTAGACAGTTTACCTTAACCCCTTCTTCAGTTCTTTTCTACCTATCAAGTTATGTTTCTTATTTATTTAGTCTCTCTTCAGCAATGTCTAAAGTGTCTACAATATCTACACAAATAGTGAAATAGCGTTGAATATTGGAATACAGATTAAAAGACAAAAGCATCACGCCTTACTTTAAGTAGCCAATATGAGTATAATAAAGCTCAGTCACATTTAATTTAAACCAAAAAGACCTACAATAAATAATCAAATGAAAAGTAATCTATGCACTGCGTGCCAAACATTTACTTTTGATGGTCATGGACAACAAATTATTTATTATAAAAAATATATCATGTATTAATGTTCCAGCTAACGATAGGTAAGGTGAGCAAACTCTGTGAATTATTATACTGTGAACGTCTGTAATAATATGCTAGCTAAATCTTTGTATTAAAATATTTCTGATTGACATTTTCAGATTATTTATTTTTTTCCAAGTTGAGAGGTAGTTGGTTAATGTAGTGCAGAAGTAATGTAATGGGAGCAACTCAAATATTTCAATGTTTTTATTAGTTGCGTTATCAAATCTTTGTGATGTGAAACATTTATCAAATGTTATTCATCAACTGTAACCGTCTGGACTAGTGGACAGGAGTAGTGGATGTGTGTAGGCAGGAGAGAGGGCAGAGAGATATGTTTCGGGATATGCACCAGCTGAACATATGAGGAAACTGGCATCCCAGTATGATGAACAGCTCTACACATGAGCCAGCTGGCGGCCATTGCCCTCACAGTCTCCATCTTCATTGTGAACTGTGAGAGAGACGTCTCCACTATGAATAGGGGGAAACCTTCAATGAGCAACATCTGAAATCATACATTGTGTGGTTTCTCTCAATTTCCCACACTCCAATCCTTCTTGTTATTGTTTCTACATATAGGTGAAGACAGACCTGAGAAGCAGGCTGCAGGGGGCCATCTGGCATCGTGCATGCTACTGAGAATCAATGAGCCACCTCTGGGCGAGCTCCCAATGACAGAGCCTCAGAGCTGCTCTTTCAACAAAACAAGAAAAATGAAAAGCTTTCAGCCAGTCTCCAAACGCTGCCACTGAGGCAATTATATACAGTGCCCTCTGTATGGAGTGGGTCATAAAAGGGGTACGGATATAAAGATGTAATTAAATATATTTTAAAGTTCTCTAATCAAGTCATTTTTAATAAAAACATTTTAAAATGCTTTTGATATTCCCTCCTACTTCAAAACCATTTCCCCCTGCTACTGAAAAGTATTCGCTGTACTCTGTACTCCTAAATACTCCAGATAGAAACACTTAAGTAAAAATGAATAATCAAAACAATTACATCAAGTACAATAACAACAGTATGTTGTTTTCAAGGGTGGAAGTAAAGAACTACATTTGCTCTGGTGCTGCCTGAACTCATTATACCACGTTGACTTTGGTCATGAATTAAATGGCGAATGCGGACAACAAAGGACTCTCCAGGTCCCAGGAAAGACTAATGAACACACACACATGGGCCCTAGGACCACACTGGTGATGTATTGTTCTTTGTCCTGTGTCTGCGACCAAAACTTTCCAGCAACACTACGGAAAAGTTTGTCTTTTCCTGGCACAGAATGAAACTGGACCATCTAAATCCCCATTACCACAGTATTACTCTTGTATGCACTTAATTATTCTCGCCTTTTCTTTATGAGATCCAACAACATTGCCAGAACTCATCCCAATCAGTGTAAAACATCCGGTGATGAATAAACACACAATAGTAGGCTTGTCCCAGTTGGGCAAAGCCATCATTTGTTTGTTTCCTTTGGACAGAAATCTCCTGTAAACACACATAATTCATTTGATGATTGAAAGACAGGGATGAGGAAAAGGCATAGTCAATCTCCACACAAGGCCAAATGGCACAATCAGTTCAAATGCCAGCTGGTGTTCCTCCAGGAACTAGTGATTGATTTCTCCTTGACAGAGGAGACAGAGCCGAGCCTCTATCCAATACTAGTTTTTTTTATATCTTATTTTATAGCAACGAGGATCATGAATGGGTTTATTGTAGTAAACAACTATTATTTAAATGGCATTTTAAAACACATTTATGGCTCCTCCTGTTACAAATAGATTCATAAATACATAATCACTCTTCGCAGATGCCTTTTTTAATGTCTGTATATAGATTTTTGGCATCCTGCCTTTATTGGAACGCATATTATGGATATGAGGGGAGAGAGAAAGAAGGGAGCAGCATGTCACATCCCTCCCTGGATGGAATAAAAGTGGGACTTTAAAGCTTGTACGATCAATATTCTTTGATTAACAATGCATCATATGCGTATGGAAACTGTGAAAAGGGTCACTGAGTGATGTACCCACAGAGAATGATCAGCTGACTCTGCAATTCCCCTCTGTTCTGCAGTGTTTCAGCAACTTCCTGCTCATCCTGTTGGTATCTGCCCGGCCCACAGCTTTACTGTTCTGGTTTGCGCTCACGTCTCACCGCTCTTATCAGCATCATGTCCAGATGCTGATATGTTTTCAGCTACAAAGCTCTGATAAACCCACTTGGCACTTCCTGCCCAAAACAAAATGCTGTTTACAAAAAAAGAGAGCCAAATATGTCTCCCTTTTTAAAAGGAGGATGCATGTTGGACAGGTGAAAATCAACATGACTCCAAAAACGAGCTCTGTCTGCACAATGTGTAATTAAGCAATATTTAAAAAATATTTCCCTTACAAAAATATGCCAGTGGGCACATGCGCCTTATGCTTTTACATACTGTAAGGTTCAAAGTGCACAGTTAACACTTAAAATCAACCCACTCTCTTCAGTCTGCGTACAAATGACACGACTTTACACATTGGAAATGCGTGCAATAGATACGCAGAAGTCTGATTTTGCGTGCATATGATACGCTAATCATTCCCATTGAGATCTGAGGCCGAGTTTTGCGTGCATATGACACGCCACGTTTCGTGCCTGCACCACTTATTTTTGTCCGGTCGGCTCTTGGTAGACCAGAAGCTGTATGGTTCATAAAAACATGTTCTTACTCAATACCAAGCCACGATTATTGTTTTTATTTTAAATCGTATAATGTCGGACTTTTTTTGCCGTCTGTGAGGAAAAGAAATGTGGCTCAGAGCCTCAGAATAATGAAATCTGTATTTTTTTTAATCTTTTTTTCCTTCTAATTTGTTATTCTTTTCTAAATAACACACTGTTATTTACTCAACAATAACACACAATTATCCTTGTTTTTATTTATTCGTTTAATTCTATAATCTTGGGCTTTTTAGCATGCTTTTTAGCCGTAAATAAAGTCACCGGAAACAGACGTAGACGGTAAACTGATTACCCAAGATCCTCAGCTTGAAGCTCGGGATGTTTTAGCCGCAATGCACGTTGGGATATGGTGTTAATGCAATATGATATCTGAAAAAAAAATCAGAGTTTAGGATGGCCGAAGACACTACACTACCCATAATCCCCACCTATCGCTTGGGACTACAGTCCCGTTGACAAACCCCGTGATTAATCTTCAAGCTCTGGGATTGGATGTTGGAGTGGCAGTGCGCCAAGGTTACGCCGAGCGTCAAACAGCTATTTTAAATGGAACGAAACCACGGCAGACTATCCAAAACTGGACTCGAACGCCCCCCCAGAACTACACATGCTGGTTATTGT